CTGCAAGCAGAACGCCATTGATAATGCTCCCAACAGATTTACTACGCCAAGCTGCACACAAGAAGCCCAATAAACAAATACCGTACACATAAATTCCAAACATTTGAACTCCAGGTGGCCATGAAAGGAACAACACATTTGGGGCAGAGAGACCGTTTTCTGACACACAGGGAAGTTAGAGCTTACCAACAAAACCATGGCTGGAACCGCGCCAGATGCCACGAGAGCACAGAAACTGAAGAAAAGAAACTGCAAAAGCCACCACAAGAAAGCTGAGCACAACAATGAACCTGCTGGCAGATTTTCTTGAAGGCAAAGCGGGAAGTGTGTGAGTGAAATAATTGCAAGCACATAGTGCAACTCACTATTCGGCCAACGACGGTTGCCTCGTAGAAGCCTCGGACCCCTGAACCATTTCTTTCACCCCTGGCAGCACCCATGTAGTAGATGCCAAACACCTGAGCACATCAAAATAAGTACACTTAATAACAGCACCCTCCATAAGCAACCGAGAGAGACAACACATAAACAGAACAGAAACACATAAAAACAGAACCCACCACGGCAAGCGTCCCTAGAACACGAATCCATCCAGGTGTCAATACATCACGTCCAAAAAATAAACCTGGAACCCATAAAGAGAGAAGGAACAAGATCAGAAAGGAGGCTAGAAAAAAAGAAACAAGCTAACATATAAATGAAGCAAGGAGCACACAAAAGGCACGAGTCAGGTCAGCCCACACGACACTCACAAAAACAAGCATGGGGCATACTGACGAACAAAACAAATGAAAGCAAAGGAAAAACAGTAACACAACAAGAAAAAAAACCACCACCACAGGAAACTTCAACACACCAAACGTGAAGGTGGGAAACGCGAGAGCCATGGCGCCAGCCACACAGATGTACGCCCCCGTGACCAACGAGGCCACAGCTGTCCGAGAGAGCTTCTTCCCTGCTGCAGCAGTGGCGGCTGGTGGAGGCTCCACATTCCAGGAGACGTCCATCAGGTGCGTACTGGCCAGGTGTGCCATCACTGGATCCGCCCTCCCCTTGCCGTTCACCTGCACCTGCCTGTTGGGTCCGGCAGGCTCTATGCTGAGAAGGGGCAGAGAGAAGAAGGGGCGAGAGAAGCATAGAATGGAAGAAAGGAAGGGCCACTGAGTGCCGGCAAGGTGTGCCATCACCGGATCCGCCCTCCCCTTCCCGTTCACCTGCACCTGCCTGTTGGGGCTGGCAGGCTCTATGCTGTGGGAAGACAGAGGGACGAAAGGGGTGAAAGAAGCATAGAATGGAAGAACGGAGGGGAAAAATGAGTGCTGCCCGGGTGTACCATCCCTGGATCCGCCCTGCTGTTCCCGTTCACCTGCACCTGCCTGCTGGGGCTGACTTTTGAGTCGACTCAAAAGTCACCTGCTGGGGCTGGCAGGCTCTATGCTGAGGATATGAGGAGGAGCAAGTGGAAGGGAAGAAGGAAACGGTAGGGGAGGAGGGTTGGGAAAAGGTTTTAGGCAGATGTGCCATCACCGGATCCACCCTCCCCTTCCTGTTCACCTGCCGCTGGTGCAGGCTGAGGCCTGCTCGTGATGGCTCTATGCTGAGAAATGCAGCGGGACAAGAGGGGGGAACGCCGCATAGAAGGAATAGGAAAACTCAAAATGAGGAATGAATAGAATGAGTGGAAGTAAGGGAAAGGTTGGAAGGAAAGGGTGCAAGCAGGAGAGAGGGAACGAAGGAGGGAGGGATGGAAGGTTGAGACCTGCCCTGAGCGTTCTGCTGCTGCTGACGCTGGCTGGGGCCTGCTGGCTCTATGGACACAAGGAGGAAGGAGGGAGTGGAAGGGAGGGGGTGAGGGAAGGAGAGGAAGGGGAGGAGGGAGGGAGTGGAAGCGGAGGAGGGACGACTGCCCACCACTGCCCACCACTGCAGTGAAAACCACGCTCAAAACCATTGTTCTTTCACGTGGTCTTCATTGCCCCATGCACCCCACACCCACACAGCATGGCCTACCATATATGCCCAGTCGAGTCAATAGAAGCCACTTCAGGGTGGCCTGCGGCCTTCCCCTGTGCGCCCTGCACCACCTCCGTGGCAATGGCCACCACGCTGGGCTCCATGCACAGCGCCACCACCACACTGCGCCGGTTCCCACCGCTCCCCGCATGCACCTTGCCTGCCAGCCGTCCCAGCACAATGACGTCCCCTGCTGCTCTCACCACTGCCCCTGGGCTCACGTCCCCGTACACCTGGGAAAGGGGTTCGAGGGAGGAACGATGGGAAAGAAGGGAGGATGGATGGGAAAGAAGGGAGGATGGATGGGGAAAGGAGAGGAGCGGGGGAGAACGATTGGTACCTGGATGCACCTTGCCTGCCAGCCGGCCGAGAACTATCACGTTCCCAGCTGCCCGCACCACTGCTCCTGGACTCACATCCCCGGGAGAGGAAGAGGGAAACGGGGGAAAGGAGGAAAGGAGGGGTATGGAAAGGGAGGGGCGTGGGGGAAAGGGAGGGAAGGGAAATTGGGAGGGGGGGGAAAGGATCATCGCCCCCTGCATGCACCTTGCCTGCCAGCCGGCCCAGAACTATGACGCCCCCTGCTGCTCGCACCACTGCCCCTGGAATCACGTCCCCGTACACCTGCGAGAAGGTTGGGGAAGGGGAGGAGGGTGGAGAAAAGGAGGGGGGCGGGGAAAGGGAGAAGGATGGGGAAAAGGAGAGGGATGGGGAAAGGGAGAGGGATGGGGAAAGGAATGGGGGATGGGAAAGTAGGAAGGGAGGCGAAGGATTATCGCTCCCTGCAGCCCCTTTCTCACACTCGCGCCCTTTACAAGCACACATCACCCCCCTACACGCACAGTGACTCCCGCACCACCCCGCTACATGCACAATAACGGTGCCATCGTAGCTGATCTCCTCGAACTGTCTGATACTCCGCTTGACATAAAGACACGTCACCCCTTTGCACGCACACTCACGCCCTCACACGCACAATGACACCCGCACCCCCCTACACGCACAATGACGGTGCCATCGTAACTGATCTCCTCAAACTGCCGGATACTGCGCTTGACGTACAGACACGTCACGCCCCCAGCTCACCCGCATCCCTTACTCACAGTCACTCGCGCGCTGTACACGCACACATCACCCATTTATAAGCACACATCACCCCTTTACAAGCACGCATCGCCCCCTTACGAGCACACATCACCCCTTTACACGCACTATGACGGTGCCATCGTAACTGATCTCCTCAAACTGCCGGATACTGCGCTTCACGTACAGGCACGACACGCCCCTCGCCTCCATCTGCCCCCGGCTCTTCCCCGTCTCCTCCATCCAATTGCTCCTCCCTCTCACCCCACTCTCCCCCTCCTCCTCCTCCACACCCCGCCCTCTTTCCTCCTCCACTCCCCTCCCCGCCATATCAATCCCTCCCTGCCCCCTCATACTTCTCCCTCTCTCCTCTTCCCTTCCTTGCTGCTCTTCCTGCCACTCGCTCTGTTGTTGTGCGGCCTGCTCTTGCGGCTGCTGATGCTGCTGCCAGCTTTGTTGCTGCTCCTGCTGTCGTAACAAATGCTGTTGCTGCTGTTGCTGTGACGACTGTTGTTCTTCTTGCTGTTGTCTTCGCTGTTGTAGCAGCTGTTGCTGCTGCAGCAGCAGCTGCTGCCGTTCCTGCCACCGCTGCTGCTCCCGACGGCCTCCCGGAAACCATTGGTTCCCCGCTGCAGCCACCGAGACATCCCTCCGTAATTGCCGAAATCCGTTTATTTCATTGATTCTGTCATCGCCAGGATTTTCATATATTCTCCAGGCATTATCGGCTAATCGGGCTGGTCTATCATATCTAACTGGTCGCTTCGGTTTACTTAAGCAGTAATTATCAACGGTGCTTGGTCTGTGTTTGAAATGGTGATTGGTCTTAGAGGAGGAACGCAGGACGTGCGAATTACAGTTTAATCTAAGCGGCACGGGTCTAAAAGTTAACTCCATCGGACCCACAGATTTGCGACTAATTACGATTGATTACGACTGAAAACGACTCCTAGCAACAGTTGGCGAAAATGTCAGCTATCTGTGTAAGGACATGACTTCATGGCTCTGCAGAGTAAGCAGATTTATCCGTCGAAGCAGCAAGCTATGAGACAGCGGGATAAATCACTATTTCTACAAGAAGTAACATTGTCGAACTTTTCATCACGTTGCTATGAGCCAATGAAGCCATTAGTCATTTTAGCAGCTTTTCTTCTCTCTTTTGGCGAGTGGTTGGTGTTCTGGCGGGAACGCCTTCGCGAAACGCGCTTATGGCTTGTGCGGAAGAAAAACGAATATTTTCGGCAACCTTCAGGTTACCAGCACACCTCATTGGTCGGAGATGAAGCAGCACAGAGTTTTGGCGGGAGAGCTGCCTATGCTCTGATTGCTTGCAAGTGTTTTGGAGGGATGTCAGTGTAACAGCTGATCCGTTTGAATACCACGGCTGAATGAAAAGCTAGAACCTTGAATAACGTACAAAAATCCAATCCAACGCAGAAGCTTAACTGATCACTTATTGCGTTGCAAGCCTCCATAAAATGAGACCCCAGCGCAGATGCACCACGTGTCTCTCACTCCAATGCGTCCCGACCAAAGCACTAATTTTACGGAATCGTAGTGCAGGGCCTAGACCGTCGTCTGCTTCCCCTTCGCATTCCTCCACCTATTAATCCTTCCTACTATTGAGGCGAATATTGAGTCGCTTAATCGTAGTCTCACCTCGGATAGGCCCCTCTCACCTCGTTACCCGTCCCCTGGTTTCGCTTCGACATAAGAGCCACTTCGCCGAGGGTCCTCTCTCCTGGTTATTCTTCAAAGTGTCTTTTGAGTCAACTCAAGAGTCATCTGATCTCGCATAGGCCCCTCTTCTCTCGTCCCGTCCCTTGGCTTAGCCTTCCCCTGGTTCCGCTTCGATCTAAGAGTCATTTCGCCCAGGCCCCTCCTCACTGGTTACCCACGCGATAATGGCACGAGAAGGTGCCGCATCACGCCGAGCCTCGAACGCGCTCAAGGTGGCGTTTCAGCCGTTCGATGTGGACTTCCATCCGACGGCTCACCTGCTCAGCGTCTCCTTCATCTCGGGTGTCGTGCAGCTGTAAGCGGTAAAATGAAGTTGGAATTCGAGATCGGATATGAGACAGGCAGGATAGGCGCGGGGAATGCATGTTTTGTGACGTCACTGTTCAGAGCAGAGGCGTCAAATTTAAATTCATGGTCGTGGGGTGCTTCCGTTGGTCATGGGGTCCTGTGCGGGAGACTGGATCTCGGTTCAGGGCATTCAAGGCTAAAGAATTTTGTTCAAGGGTTTGGGTTTGAGGTTTGCAGCAGAGGCGAAAACTTGGCCGTGGCAATTTCACATGCATGGTTGCAATGTGTGCACATACGCAGTGTAAACGTCTACAATTGCGTGCAAGCACCGGGTACGGGGTTTCGGGTTCTGGGTACGACACAGATGCATGCAATGTAAATGGGAGGTGTAGGGTTTAGGATTTGGGTGTGGCACAGACTGCACGCAAGCCTGTCATGGGGCACGTGTGGCAAGGCACCCACCGTCCACTCCTCCACCAATCCATGCTTTTCCATAGCCTCACTGCCTCCCCTCCCCTTCCCCCCTGCCACCCCACTCTCTCTCCCAGTCTCAATGTCGATCCTACCACACTGCAATTCGAAAGGTACGCCCACTCCCCATTGCCAATATCACGCACCCCATTGCCACCGCCACACCTAGTGTGTTCAGCCAGGCTTATGCAGTTAGAGTTGAAGAGTAGCCTGGCAGGCAGGCTTATGCGAAAGAAGAATTGGCAAGGTATGGTACCCAGTCTCACCCTTCGCTCCTCACCCTTTTGCACCTCACCCCTTTGCACCGCACCCCTTTGCACCCCACCCCACTGCACCCACGAGCAGCAAGTGGAAGAAGAGGGGCCACACCGACTCCTGCCGAGCTGCACGATTTGCTGCCAATGGCCGATGTGAGTGCTGGTTGCTGGGGGTGTGTGGTGCTGCTGGGGGTGTGTGGTGTGCTGCTGGGGGTGTGTGGTGTGCTGCTGGGGGTGTGTGGTGTGCTGCTGGGGGTGTGTGGTGTGCTGCTGGGGGTGTGTGGTGCTGCTGGGGGTGTGTGGTGCTGGGGTTGGTGCAGCTGAGGCGTGTGTAGCGTGCTGGTTGCTGGGGGTGTGTGGTGTGCTGCTGGGGGTGTGTGGTGCTGCAGGGGGTATGTGGTGTGCTGCTGGGGGTGTGTGGTGCTGCTGGGGGTGTGTGGTGCTGCTGGGGGTGTGTGGTGCTGGGGTTGGTGCAGCTGAGGCGTGTGTAGCGTTCTGGTTGCTGCTTCTGTATATCAGTATGGATGCTTGGAGGGGCATAGAGCTCATGCTGTCTGCTACTTACTCCTGATGCTTGTGGAATGGAGGGGATAGGATACTTTGAAGGCCTAGAAAACCCTCGTGACATCTGCTCTCTTTTTATAACCCCTCATCCACCCTCCCGCCCGAGTTCCCTCTCCCATCCTTATCATCTTCACATCACACACCGTCCCTTATCATCTTCACACACCCTCCTCAACCCCCCAGTTGTGGTGTCAGCAGACAGCATTGGTCCATCCCGTCCCAGACAAGTCCATTTTGGATCGAGACGTGGAGACGGGGGAGCGAATGCATTGTCATGGTTTGAGGCGTCTCAAGCCCTCCCCACCTTCCCAACCCTTCCCTTGTAACTTTTCACACACCCCCCTCGTTCTTCCAGTTGTGGTGTCAGCAGCAGCAGACAAGTCTATTGTGGTTCGGGTTATGCGGAAGTGATAGCTGCTATTCTCCCCCATGCCCTCCCGTGTTGTTGCCAATCCCCATACACCGCTCCTCCCTCCATCAGTTGTGGTGTCAGCAGCAGCAGACAAGTCTATTGTGGTTCGGGATACGGAGACGGGGGAGCGAGTGAGCAAGGTCATGGGCGCACACAGGTGGGTGCAGGGAAGCACGGGCGGGCGCAAATCTGTGGTTACAGGGATCGCCTTATTCGTGCATTGATCTGTTTGGACTTCAAGTTGGAGGCATGCTGATTTCTTCTGCTCTGTGTGATCTGTTTGTTTCCCACTCCGCTCTCTCCGTGTGCAGTGAGGGAATCAACCGGTTGGCATGTTGGGATGACTCCTGTGTGGCTTCCGGTGATGATTCCGGCACAGTCAAGGTGAGTCAAGGGCGGTCAAGGTGAGTCAAGGTGAGTCAAGGGCGGTCAAGGTGAGTCAAGGTGAGTCACGGTGAGTCAACAGCGGTCAAGGTGAGTCAAGGGCAGTCAAGGTGAGTCAAGGGCGGTCAAGGTGAGTCAAGGTGAGTCAAGGGCAGTCAAGGTGGGTCAACAATGGACAACGTGAGTCAACACCGGTCCAGGTGAGTCAACAGCGGCCATGTGTGCATGCCTTATGTTTCATGTCTGCAGTTGTGGGATGTCATGTCATGTCATGTCATGTCATGTCATGTCAGTACCTTTTTCAGGCATCTCATCCCTCCCCTCCTTTGTCTACCTCTGCGCTTGCTTGTATGCTCCTTCTCCAGCTGTGGGACTTGAGGCAGGACGGCGGTGCAGCAGGCAGCATAGCGACCGTGCAGGGGGCATCAGCCTATCTCACTAGCATAGCATCCGGCCCCTCTTGTCCTCTGTGCGGTTGTGTGCGGCTGTGTGCTCTGTGCTTGACTATTTGCTCCTTCTCCAGCTGTGGGACTCGAGGCAGGGCAGAAGCGCAGTGGGCAGCACAGCGACCGTGCACGTGGCACCGGACTATCTCACTCACATTCGGCCCTTCCCTTCCTGCCATGTGTTGTGCGCTTGTTTCATATGCTCCTGTGCAGTTATGGGATCCGAGGCAGGACGGCGGTGCAGTAGGAAGCACAGCAGCAGTGCACGTGGCATCGGACTATCTCACTCACATTCGGCCCTTCCCCTCCTATGTGACTCTGTGTATGTCTGTATGTGCTAGTTCATGATGTGCTCTTTTCCTTCCCTCCAGTTATGGGATCTCAGGCAGGATGGAGTTGCAATGGGCAGCACAGCGATTGTGCAAGTGGCATCGGACTATTGTCCTGTGACATCTCACCCCTATTGTCCTGTGATGTGCCTGTGGGCTGTTGTGTGTGTTTGACTATGTGCTGTTGAGTGAAGCTGTGGGACTTGAGGCAGGACGGCAGTGCAGTGGGCAGCACAGCGACCGTGCAGATGGCATCGTGCTATCTCACTGACATTCGGCCTCTCCCCTCCTGCCACCCATGTGTGTTGTGCACTTGTTTCGTATGCTCCTATGCAGTTATGGGATCTCAGGCAGGACGGCAGTGCAGTGGGCAGCACAGCCACAGTGCAAGTGGCATCAGACTATCTCACTGACATCCGCCCCCTCCCCCTTGTGCTGTGTGTCTCTCTGTGTGTTTGTTTGATCCTCCTATGCAGTTATGGGATTTGAGGCAGGACGGCGGTGCAGTGGGCAGCACAGCGACAGTGCAAGTGGCATCGGACTATCTCACTGACATCCGCCCCCTCCCCGCCTGCAACCGCCTGCTCGCCGCCAGTGGCGATGGCTCCATGGCTGTTGTCGACCTCGCGACCAACAGAGTGAGTCATCTCTGCTGCACATGTTTTGGATCGGTGGTTGAGTACGCGCTTGGAGTTTACCTCTTTCCTTCTTCTCTCTCTCCCTTTTTCTCACTCCCTCCCTCCCTCCCTCCCTCCCTCCCTCCCTCCCTCCCTCCCTCCCTCTCACTCTCTCCTACTCTTGTCGCCTTTAGGTGCTACACTCTCGCCTTTCTTATTCTGGCAACCAATCCCCTCTCACCAAGTGTGTCTGTGTGTGTGTCTGTGTGCATGTGTGTGTGTCTGTGTGCATGTGTGTGTGTCTGTGTGCATGTGTGTGTGTCTGTGTGCATGTGTGTGTGTCTGTGTGCATGTGTGTGTGTCTGTGTGCATGTGTGTGTGTCTGTGTGCATGTGTGTGTGTCTGTGTGCATGTGTGTGTGTCTGTGTGCATGTGTGTGTGTCTGTGTGTGTGTGTGGGTGTCTGTGTGCATGTGTGTGTGTCTGTGTGTGTGTGGGTGTGTGTGTGTGTGTGTGTGGGTGCGGGTGTGTGTGTGCGTGTGTGTGTGTCTGTGCATGTGTGCGTGTGTGTGCATGTGTGTGCATGTGTGTGCATGTGTGTGCATGTGTGTGCATGTGTGTGCATGTGTGTGCATGTGTGTGCATGTGTGTGCATGTGTGTGCATGTGTGTGCGTGTGTGTATCTTTGTGTGGGCATGTGTGTACATACATGTGCGTGCACGTGTGTATGTCTGTGTACATGTGTGTACATGTGTGTATGTGTCTGTGTGCATGTGCGTGTGTGTGTGTCCATGTGTCCATGTGTATCCTTGTGCATGCTTCTGTGTTTCTCTATGTGTCTGCTCCCACTCGCGCCCACCAATGCGCCCTGCAGCTCACAGCACACACGGACAGCACAGATGACGATCTGCTTTCCATTGTGGCAGTCAAGGTATGAACTTTCATGCATGTGTGCCTGTGTGACCTGCTCGCACCACTGCCACCCACCCCTGCAGCTCACAGCACACACGGACAGCACAGATGATGATCTGCTTTCCATTGTAGCAGTCAAGGTTAGAACATGCATCCATGCATGTGTGCGTCCAGGCATGCACGCACCTATGGTTCATTCACGCCTATTGTAAGGCTGCTGCTGTTTTAACGGGACGTTCTCCCTCTCTTACCCTCTTCCTTATCTGGTATCCCCTCCCTAATCTGGTATCCCCTCCCTAATCTGGTATCCCCTCCCTAATCTGGTATCCCCTCCCTAATCTTGTATCCCCTCCCTAATCTGGCATCCCCTCCCTAATCTGGCATCCCCTCCCTAATCTGGCATCCCCTCCCTAATCTGGCATCCCCTCCCTAGTCTGGCATCCCCTCCCTTATCCCCTGTCAACCCAATATCGCCCACCTCAGAGCGATTCCAAGGTGGTGTGTGGCTCTCAGAGCGGGTTGCTCTTCCTCACTCCTTCTTATCCCTTTCTCCCCCTCTCCATTGTCTCCCCCTCCCTTCTTCTATCCCCTGCACCCCTCAGAGCGACTCCAAGGTCGTGTGTGGCTCTCAGAGCGGGTTGCTCTACTTTTTCAACATGAACGGAGCAGAGCGGGACAAGTGAGTGTGATGCTATGAGTGTTGCGACAGTTTGGGATTGCAGCAGCAGCAGCATATAAGCCTGTGCTCTCAGAGCGGTTTCGTTCCTTCTTCAACGTGAATGGAGCAGAGAAGGACAAGTGAGTGTGATCTCATGAGCACCGCAATTTGTGACAGTAAAAATTTTATTCAGAATTCTAAAAAAAAGACTTTCCGAGAATTCTAAAAAATTATGAGCACGACAATTTGTGACAGTAGAGAAGTGCGTCAGAATGAAAAGGCAGCGTATGAGCTCATGAATCTTCCAGCGGAACTGTTCTTTGTTTCAACATGAGTGGGGGAAGAGTACTAGCTAGCGATTGTGATATTGTGCAGCATGATAACTGACTGTGGCTGTAACAAGCGTGATGCTATGGAGGGAGACACGAGTGCGATTACTTTTGAGACTTCTCAAAAGTGATTTCAGCACGTCACTTTTTGACTTTTGAAGCGGGCCACTTTCTTTCAGACATGAATGCATACCATTCACACACGAACGGCTGTGAGGTGAGTGGGTGAGTGACCACAACGAGTGTCGTGGGAAGTAAAGGCATCCCAGATATTGCCCATGCACTTCCTTCTTCCATGCCTGTCATCACTCTTTCCTTGTCCCGCTTCCTCTCCTCTACCCTCTACCCTCTTCCCTCTTCCCTCTCCTCCACCATCTACAGTGATCGCTTTCGAGGTCACGGAGGTTCAGTAGATGCCATTTTGCCTGTAAGCGCCTCCCTTCCTTTTCTCTCTCAGCGCCTCCCTTTCCCTCTCTCCGTTGCCTCCTGTAGTTGAATGTGTGAATATGCATATTTCTCTACTCCAACCTCCTCATTTCCTCTCGTCATCTTCCCTTCCCCTCCCATCGTCTCCTACCTCCTCCCCATTCCAATCCCTCTCCACCCATCCCGACCCCTACTTTTCATGCTTCAGCTGAACAGTGCCGTTCCGCACTGCTCACAGCCTGCCTCTCGTCCATGCGCTCTACGCCCACTTCCTGCCTCATATGCTCCCATGCCCTCATTCTCCCTCATTCTCCGGCCCCACATGCTCTCCCAGCTGGACGACAAGGCGCTGCTTGCAGCCTGCCTCTCGTCCATGCGCTCTACGCCCACTTCCTGCCTCACATGCTGTGCTCCCATGCCCTCATTGTCCCTTGGCCTCGGCCACACATGCTCTCCCAGCTGGACGACAAGGCGCTGCTTGCAGCCGGCTCCCATGGACTCATCCAATAGCCCACCTGCCGTCCATGCTCTGTTCTCCCCCCTCCTGCCTCACATGCTGTGCTCCCATGCCCTCATTCTCCCTCGGCCTCGGCCACACATGCTCTCCCAGCTGGACGACAACACGCTGCTTGCAGCCTGCTCCCATGGGCTCTTTCAAGCTGTCTCGTGCCCCCTTGCCCTCCTGCCACATGCCCTCCCCTCCCCTTATGCTCTCATTCCCCATCAGCTGGACGATGACACGCTACTCACAGCGTGCTCCGATGGGCTCATTCGAGTCGTCTCGGTCTTTCCCAACCGCTTTCTAGATGTCGTGGGCTCGCACACGGACGCTGCTGTGGAGGCACTGGGTGAGTGGGTGGGTGGGTGTGGTGGTGGGCGTGTGGGCGAGTGGTGGTTCCGTGGGTGTGTGGATGGTGCAATGCCATTTCCGAGATAAAACTCCGTCATGCAATCCTGTCTATCACTTCAATGCTGCGTTCCCCACCCTCTTTTTGGGTGTTGTGTGCCAAAAAGAGGGTGGGGAACGCCACAGCATGGCGTTCCCCACCCACCGCACCCGGACCCTGCTGTCTCGGAGGGACTTGGTGTCTGTGAATGGCTCAATTCAATGCTGCTCTGTGATGGCCGTAGAAAGTTCAACTTAGAAACGCAATGCTGTGTGCTAGTACATAGCTGGTAACACGGTTGATACACGACATCCATGTGCTCCGTTTCGATTCTATCTGTTTGATGCACAAGGAGTTCTGAGACGTCTGTTTCTCATCTTTTTTCTTTTGAGGGTTTTGGAAGTCGCAAATGCTTGTGTGTGTGTGTGTGTGTGTGTGTGTGTGTGTGTGTGTGTGTGTGTGTGTGTGTGTGTGTGTGTGTGTGTGTGTGTGTGACGTCTCAAAACTCGATATTGATATGCTCCATTATTTTCTGTCTGTTCGATGCACAAAAAAAAAAACGTTCTCACCCTTCCTCCCTACCTTGTAACCATCCCACCCTGTCCTGTACCACACCCACCTTCCCCCCAACAGCATTGTCTCACGATCACAACCTGCTTGTGAGCGCGGGGCACGACCAGAAGCTCAAGGTGAGGGGCTGGTGCAGTTCTGGTGTTGTGAGTTGGTAGGCTGGTAGGCTGGTAGGCTGGTAGGCTGGTAGGCTGGTAGGCTGGTAGGGTGTGCTCTCTCCCACACGACCACAACCTGCTTGTAAGCGCGGGGCACGACCAGAAGATCAAGGTGAGGGGCTGGTGCAGTGCTGGTGTTGTGAGTTGGTAGGCTGGTAGGCTGGTAGGCTGGTAGGCTGGTAGGGTGTGCTCTCTCCCACACGACCACAACCTGCTTGTAAGCGCGGGGCACGACCAGAAGATCAAGGTGAGGGGCTGGTGCAGTGCTGGTGTTGTGAGTTGGTAGGCTGGTAGGCTGGTAGGCTGGTAGGCTGGTAGGCTGGTAGGGTGGTAGGCTGGTAGGCTGGTAGGCTGGTAGGCTGGTAGGCTGGTAGGCTGGTAGGCTGGTAGGCTGGTAGGGTGGTAGGGTGGTAGGGTGGTAGGGTGGTAGGGTGGTAGGGTGGTAGGGTGGTAGGATGCCATGACCAGAAGATCAATGTGAGGGGGTGGTGGGCACCATGAGATGGCATGACATGGCACAACAGGGTATGATGTGTCATGAGAGTGCAGATGATGGTGCTTGCTTCTCGAGTTCTACACCCCATGTGTCCCCCTTCCTTCCTGTCACTGTGTCCTTCCTTCGTTTCCCTCACACTCCCTCTACCTTGCACCTTCTCCTGTTCTCCTTCCTCTTGGCTGTCCCCCCCTTCTCTAGGCATGGGACATCGCAGGAATTTTGGATGAGGAGGAGGGAGAGGATGGGGAGGAAGAGGAGGAAGAGGAAGAGGAGGATGAGAAGCAAGATGAAAAGACTGGAGCAGGAGGAGGAGACTATACAGTGGCAAATGGAAAAGATCCAAACGAGCCGGCATCTGCTGCTGCTGGTGCTGGTGAAATGGTAGTGGGAAATGGAGGGGCAGAACAAGCAGGGGACGGTGAAGGCCGGGGGAAGGAGCAGACAGTTGCTGGGAGAAGAAGGGGTGACTGTAAGGAGAGTGATAGTGACAGTGACCAGAGAGGAGGTGGGAGAGACGATGACTCGGACACCAGCGACGACGACGGTGGCAAGGGAGGTGAGTACAGTATAGTTGCTTTGTTTTGAATGCAAGGGTTGCGTTTCATTCATTCATACAGTATTTCATTGTTACGGTGATGCACGAAGGTGGAACGTAGTTGCACTGCATTATGGACTTGTGCACATAAACAAGTCAACTCATATTTGTTTAATTGCTTGTTTTTCCCTTCTGCCTGCCGCCGCAGGGAGGAAAAGGCGTCGCTCTCCCAACCGTCGTGGAAATTTCAAGGCACGTGGGTCAGCAATGGCTGATTTCTTTAGGGACATTGAATGACTGCACATTTTGTGCAGTATTGTTGAGTATTATCGTTTGTGAAACACTATTCACACATACTGCATGAGCTATTATCCTCCATATATCTAACAACTGCCTTTATCGGGACAGTCAGTCAAGCTGAAAGTGTAACGAGTACGACATCTTCCTAAGAAGTATCGCCGAAGTGGGTGCGGCACATGACATGGCATGAACCAGCAGCCATGGCATCATTGGGCGGCATGGGGCATGATGATGATAACTCCTTTCTGATAGAAATTAGTCTAGATCCCATAAACTCCCTAGAGCATTTTTCGAAGAATCACTAGGTCGCTAAATCCCTACAGCGCGCATACGTCAGCAATGGCCGAGCCTAGGACCGTCGGCCGCTCTCCCTCTCTTCCATCCTTAGCGGCTTCTCCCGTCAACTCCGCTCCCGGCGCCGGGAAATCCGCTGCAAGGCCGTCCTCGAGACGCACAGGGCCGATATACATCTTAGTGCTGCCGATCGTGTTCTTTCTGGGGATCATGACAGGAGGATGGACGTGCCAGCGTGGCTACTGGCAGCGAGTAATGTCATTGGATAAGGATGGCGATCACGATAGAGGTGGAGTTAGAGGTCAAGATATTAGAGATTTTGAAGCAATCTCGATCAATTCCACGATTGGTTCGCATACGGGTGTAGATTCGAAGATAGATTCTGTTGTCCATGCGACCAATCAGATCACAGATTCCACTGCTGGTAATGGCGGTCAGGCTATTTCTGCCGTGCCGTCAATTAAGGCCAATCTTTCTGATCAGCTAGATGCGGATTTCTTGCTTCGATATAAGGCAGGGAGGGTAGGCCTTACCGAGGCGTCTATACAAACCCCAAAACTCGCCTTTCTGTTCATGACACGTGGCCGTCTGCCATTGGCTCCCTTTTGGGAACGGTTCTTTAAAGGCCATGAGGGTTTCTTCTCAATCTACATCCACACGGCTCGCGAGTTTCGGATATAAGCCAGGGGAGCTTCCATCCGCGTTTGAAGGCGCACACATACCGAGTCAAGTGAGTTAGTCTAGGCAAGTATGCGCACGTAATTTTGTGCCAAATTCTTTTCCTTTTCTCCTCTTTCTTTTCCTATGTTTGACACATCCCAAAACTCTCTCCTCTCCCTTGCCACGTCACTCTCTCTTCCTTTCTCCCCAACTCCATCATTCCAACACCCCTTCCCACTCCCATCCCCTCTCTCCCCCATCCAGTTCCTGCACTGAGGCCAGAGCAGCACAGAAGACACCGAGAGGGAAAGGTCCAAGCCAACATGGGTAGTTCACATCACACACATTCCATCCTCCATCGCCCTCTCGTTTTCCATCTTCCCCACTCCCCATCTTTCCCATCCCCGCTCTCTCTCATACCCCAGCCCCTCCCTGCACTGGGGTGAGAGCAGCACAGAAGACGCCGAGAGGAGATTGCCAGTTAAAACTCGTTCCAAATCTCCACAAATCAGCACTTCTTCCCATTCTTCTTCCCATTCTTCTTCCCATTCCACTTCTGCCAACCGCCTCCCACCCGCCTCTCCCTCACCCCCCAGGACGAGCACTGGGGTGAGATCAGCATGGTGGTCGGGGAGAGGCGCCTGCTTGCCAACAATGGCTGTTCACGTACATTTTATCCTCCATCGCCCCTTCCTTCCCCATCTCCCAAACGCCCATCTCTCCCATTTTCGCACTCGCATCCCGTCCCTTTCTCACCGCCAGGACGTGCACTGGGGTGAGATCAGTATGGTGGATGCGGAGAAACGCCTGATTGCCAACGCTAGTGGTCTACATTAATTACATCCTTCATCGCTCCCTCATACCTCATCACCCCATCGCCCCCATCTCCCCGTACCTCCTCTCACTCACCCCAGGACGTGCACTGGGGTGAAATCAGCATGGTGGACGCGGAACGTCGCCTGCTAGCCAACGCCGTTGGTGTACATTCATCCCATCCCCCATCGCCCCCTCATTCCCCATCCTCGCCATCTCTCCATCTCCCCCATCCTCCCTTTCTCTCACCCCAGGACGTGCATTGGGGAGAGATCAGCATGGTGGACGCGGAACGGCTTCTGCTAGCCAACGCGCTCCTGGACCCAGGCAATGCACACATCATCCTCGTTTCAGACTCCTATGCTCTCATTTTCCATCTTACCCCTTCTTCCCCATCCCCACTTTCCCCATTCCCCCTTTCCTGATACCCCCTTTCTCTCACCCCAGGACGTGCACTGGGGTGAGATTAGCATAGTGGACGCATAAAGACGCCTGCTAGCCACCGCCCTCCTGGACCCTGGAAACACATGCTTTCATCCTCGTATTCTAGTCATCCGCCCTCATTCCCAATCATGCCAACCCCCCTTCGTCCCCACCCCCCTTTCTCCCACCCCAGGATGTGCACTGGGGAGAGATCAGCATGGTGGACGCCGAACGCCGTCTGCTAGCCAACGCTCTTCTGGACCCGGGCAATGCGCGCTTTATCCTCGTTTCAGAGTCCTGCGCTCCCCTCTTTAACTTCACATTCGTTTACGAGTACCTCATGGCCTCGCCCGAAGCATACGTTCGCTTGAAGAACGAGCCGGGGACAAACGGGCGGGGGAGGTGGCGGAGGGAGTTTCTGCCTCTGGTTCGGTTGGAAGATTGGAGGAAGGGAGGGCAGTGGTTTGCCATGGATAGGGAAGCGGCTAGGGTTATCGTCGCGGACGATATTTTCTATCCTCTTTTTAAGCGGTTCTGCAGGCCGCCGTGTTACGCAGATGAGCACTACATGCCGACTATGCTGAAAGTGCTTATGCCGGGAAATGTGGCGAATAGGACGGTTACTTGGACGGATTGGTCTAAACCTGGTGCTGCACATCCTGCGCAGTTTGGTGCGGGTCAGGTGACGGATAAGCTTATAGAGAGGATGAGAGGGCCTCTGAGCTGTACAGTAGCTGATGAGAGTGTTCCTTGTTTTCTGTTTGCCCGGAAATTGATGCCGGGAGCTTTGACAGATTTGCTTCGACTGGCTGAATTCATAGGGATGTGATGTGATAAGGTGTGCAATGCCGTTTCGTCTACTGTGTATCAGCTTACCAGGTCCATGGCCCCAAACCCAGCTAGCCTTGTACAAGCAGTCCCCTCCCCAACCCCCCTCTTTTCCCTCCCCCCCCTCTCCTCCCCCCCTCCCCCCCACCCTGCCCTCTCCCCAACACATCCCCCCTCCCCCTTCCCCCCCCCCCCCCCTCTTTCCCCCTCCGCACTTCTCTAGCAAGCAAGGTGTGTCATGGTTGCAAGAGGATAAATGTAAATTAAGTTTGCAGTCTAGCTACTATACAGAACCGAGTCTTTATCGTCTTTGTGATGAATCAAACTGAAGCTCGATACGGAACCGAGACTCCAGTATCGATCCTGCTTGACTTCCCTTCCCAGTCGCTTGTGCCAGCCGCACAGCGCGACACCGCTACCCTACTCAACGTGGGATGGATGGATCGTGGTTGTGGATGGAATTGCAGTCCGTCCGTACCAAATCCCCTGGCCGCAATTTCGTCCATAGCTAGGGAGGCTTGGCTGTGGAAAATTGCCGTAGATGGACGGCCCGATCTTGGCAACCGAATAATTAGCCAATCTCCGTGCATTATGTTGTCAAAATTAGAATACGGACGGTTAAGATCTGAGAGAAGGTATCCACGTGGAAAATCTGCTGCTCGGACCGTTAAACGTGGACCACGTGCCCATAGGCGTTGTTTCCTCTCGGTTTGGCTGGTGTGGTGCAGAACTCTACTAAAGCGTAGTTGAATGATCGCTCAGTGGAGTTAGTGTCAGTTTTTCATGTGATGTATTACTTGACAACCAGACTGGTAGTGTATTCCCTGGCACACTCAGAAAATACTTCCAACCTCACTGTAATGAATTCACCATGTGAACAAGCCTTCGGACTCAAAACCACCCTCATTCCCTGCTCAACCAAGGTTTCGGAGCACCGGGAATGACTGGATGGAGTGACCAAGGAAGGTTGAGTTGAGTGAGGCGGAGGTTTCAGTTCAGTTTAGGCCGAAGCGGTTCGCCGGAGGCAGCGGCAAAGCTTGGCTGCGTTCTAAGCACATATTCGTATTTTTAGTTTGTACAGCGGTTCTGTGCACATATCGTCGACTTATATTGGGGAAGCATCTCCAGCGAAACTAGACCATTCAGCGCAGTAACTGTTTCAAACGACTACTCTTCGGAGCGCGGTCCCGCGTAGCATCCTTACTTCGAAAAGCGTTCAATGTCCGACCCCGGCGCCTCTTGAGTATCTTTATTGCAGGCGCCTCGAATCTTAAACGCCTTGAAAATAGATGCATTAGAAATACTCGCCTAAGAAAAATTGACGCCGTCAATTTTGACGCCTCGCCTGACGTCTCGTGTAAGCCTTAATCGTCATCACACGTCCCCACCCACTCGCCGCATCGTACTCTCTCTGAGCCGACCCGCTGCTGAATAGTATACTATAGTACCCGTCGCCGCTCGTCGTGACGTTCGAGTCGCCTCAAAAGCCCACATCGGCGTACGATATACACTACTGAGCAACATTATCCGCTTCCACTCGTCATGACCATGGCTCCCGTTCTCATCAATGGCTCAACCACTGTTGCCCGTGACACCACCGAGTCCGCCCGTACCATACTGCCAGCGAGAAAAACCGCGCTAGTAGATGACCCGCTATTCGTACACTCCGCCTCGACCCATGCTCGCCTTACTGCTACCACTACAAGTAGAAATAAAACGTTTGCCAGCACCACTGCTCGCCGACCCGCCGTGGGTTCCAGATTGATCTCCATGCTCCCGCTCCTCCTCGCGTCGCTTTTTTTCTTCGGATCGCCCCCTCTCGCCGTTTCCGCCGCTCAGAATTCCTCTCCGGTTGCAACGCCTGCGAACGCTGGGGCTGCCGTCGCCGTAGACTCTACCGAGGCTCTTTATAACGCGTTGCTTCGTGCCTCCGCCGGACTCGCCGCGGGCGCCGGCGGCGGCGCGAACGCGTCAGTGGCGTCGCTAGCGTGGACCGCGAGCCTGCTGCGCGGCACGGGCGTGGACCAGGATGTGATTAACGCGCGGAACTCGGGGCTCGGCGCGCTGCTGGTGGCGCCGACCAACTACGCATGGCAGCAGTTCTTCGACGTGCTGGAGCGCGCCAATGCGAAGCAACCCGCGGCGACGTGGCCAGGTATGAGTGGAGCTAACGCGAAGCAACCCGCCGCCAGCACTGGCGGTTATTCGACGTGCTAGAGCGAGCCAACGCGAAGCAACCCGCGGGGACGTGGCGAGGTAACGAACCCCCAGCAGCATACAGCAGCGACATGGGGAGCTGAGATGGGAGTAGACGCGCGCCGAATAACTTGGCGTGGCTTTTGAGTCGACTTGATAGCAGAGTAACTTGGCGTGGCTTGAGTCGACTTGATAGCAGAGTAACTTGGCGTGGCTTTTGAGTCGACTTAAAAGCACAGTAACTTGGCGTGGCTTTTGAGTCGAGTTGATAACAGAGTAACTTGGCGTGGCTTTTGAGTCGACTTAAAAGCAGAGTAACTTGGCGTGGCTTTTGAGTCGACTTAAATGCAGAGTAACTTGGCGTGGCAGCAATTCTTTGACGTGCTGGAGCGAGGTATGAGTAGAGCCAACGCGAAGCAACCCGCCGCCAGCACTGTCAGTTCTTTGACGGGCTAGAGCGAGCCAACGCGCAGCAGCCGTTGCGACTTGGATAGATGGAAATACATAGCCGTTCCTTGCTGCTAGTACGAAACCCCCGTGTCCTCTCCCCCCTCCCTCCCCTCCTCTTCTGTTCCTTTCCTTCCCTACAGATATCTTTGTGGGCTATCCAAGCGTGACCCCAGCCGCCCTGGTAGCAGCAGCCACCAGCATCACCACCCCTTCCTCCGCCAGCCCCCCAAACATCACCCGCACCTTCAGCAACCTCTCCGCGCCTCTCAGCCTGGACGCCCTGTCGACCGAGGGTAAGGCCGCCTTGAGGGGCGTGCTGCTGCTGCACCTCACAGGAGCTTATTACCTGGAGAGCCAGCTGGAAGCCATGGCGTTTCCCAACGGCAGTGACCCGGTGAGTTGAATGGATGAGGTGTGCGCTTCAGGGCAGCACGGTGAGGTGCAAGTGGGCCGCATTATGGGACGCGCTGCTGCTGCTGCACCTCACAGAAGCTTATTACCTGGAGAGCCAGCTGGAAGCCATGGCGTTTCCCAACGGCAGTGACCCGGTGAGTATCGCTTGCACTACCATACAAGGCATGCCTGTGATGCTGAGAGGCGTGCTGCTTCTGCTGCTGCTGCTGCTGCTGCTGCTGCTGCTGCTGCTGCTGCTGCTGCTGCTGCTGCACCTCACTGGCGCGTACTACCTGGAGAGTCAGCTCGAGGCCCTGGCGTTTCCCAACAGCAGTGATCCTGTGAGTTGTAGGAAAAAGGGGTTCAGTGGGTTGTAGACCTGTGCACTCCTTGCTGCTGCCTGCCGCTGCCTGCCGCTGCCTGCTGCTGCCGCCTCCGCCGCTGCTGCCGCCGCCGCCGCCGCCGCCGCCGCCGCCGCCGCCGCCGCCGCCGCCGCCGCCGCCGCCGCCGCCGCCGCCGCCGCCGCCGCCGCCGCCGCCGCCGCTGCTGCTGCTGCTGCTTCTGCTTCTGCTTCTGCTTCTGCTGCTGCTTCTGCTGCTGATGCTGCTCCCCCTCTCTCTCACCCCCTCCCTCCCTCCCTCCCTCTCTCCCTCATCCCTCCCACCTCCGTCCCCACGAGTATACATATGCATATACATGTACATGTACATGTACATGTTCATATACATATACATATAAATATACATATACATATTCATATACATATACATATACATATACATATACATATACATATACATATACATATACATATACATATACATATACATATACATATACATATACATATACATATACATATACATATACATATACATATACATATACATACACAACGCAGTGGGCACGAATCAGACCATTCAGATCCACATAGAGTCGGACAAGTCGCTTCAAATCCTTCCCTCCCCACTCCCCGCCCCCCCTCTCCCACAGGCCCCCCAGCACGGGCACATATATGCGGTGGGCACGAATCAGACCATTCAAATCCACATTGAGTTGGACAAGTTGCTCCATAACACTCCCTGGATTCCCTCATCCACCGGAGCATGTTATTTGGAGAGCCAACTGGAAGCCATGGCCTCTGCCAGTGACAGTGGCCCTGTGCATTGAGTTACCACAGCACGGAGGTGAGTTTTGAGGCGCCTCAAAACTCACAGCACGGAGGTGAGTTTTGAGGCGCCTCAAAACTCACAGCACGGGCACATACACGCAGTGAGCATGAACCAGCCATCCTCTCTCTCTGCTCCCTTCCCCTCTACCCCCCCTGCTCTTTCTCTAAACCCACAGGTGCCATAGCACGGGCAAGTGTATGCAGTGGGCACGAATCAGACCATTCGGATCCACATAGAATCCGACAAGTCAATCCAAATCCCTCTTCCTGCCCCACCCGTCCCTTTCCGCCCCCCTTTTATCCCCACAGGCCCCACAGCACGGGCACATATACGCGGTGGGCACGAATCAAACCATTCAGATCCACATAGAGTCGGACAAGTCGCTCGTGTTCCGCGTGCCGGCCAACGCCAACACGCCTGTGCGGGACAGCCCCTACACCGCCTACTCTGTCACTGCCGCTGCCACTGTGCTGCCCGCCCTCAAGGATGCCATTGCTGATGGGCGGCTGGCCGTGCAAGGCGCTGATCATGTGCTGGTTCCGCCCACCGGGCCTGCCAACGCGGGAGGAAAAGGTAGGCTAGTAGATCTAGTGAAGGGTTTTGTGTAGGACTAGTGCCAGTGGCAGTGGCATTGGCAGCGCCGGCACGTCTGTGCGGGACAGCCCCTACACGGCCTACTCTGTCACTGCCGCTGCCACTGTGCTGCCCGCCCTGAAAGATGCCGTTGCTGATGGGCGGAGCGGATCTCCGTGCAAGGCGCTGACCACGTGCTGCTGCCCCCTACGGGGCCTGCCAATGCTGGAGGAAAAGATAAGCTGGTAGAGATAGTTAGTGAGAGGCTGACTTGAGCAGCAGTGGCAGTGGCAGCGCCAACACGCCTGTGAGGGACAGTCCCTACACGGCATACTCTGTCACGGCAGCCACCACTGTGCTGCCCGCCCTCAAGGATGCCGTTGCTGATGGCGGCTGGCCATGCAAGGCGCTGACCACGTGCTGCTGCCGCCCGTTGGACCTGCGAATTCTGGGAGGAGATGTATGTGCGGTGGTGACAAGGGTGCAGGAGAGCGAAGACAGGGTGGCCATGCAAGGCGCTGACCATGTTCTGGTTCGACTTTTGAGAATTCTCAAAAGTCGCTCCAATATAGGTGGTGACAAGGGTGCAGGAGAGCGAAGACAGGCTGGCCGTGCAAGGCGCTGGCCATGTTCTGGTTCCTCCCACCGGGCCTGCCAATGCTGTGGGAAGAGGTACGGAAACGGACTATAGAGAGGCAGGACGGGAGAGAGGAAGGATGAGAGCAGGATGGATGATTATTCGTGCAAGTCGCTGACCACGTGCTGTTTCCTCCAACCGGGCCTGCCAACACTGGGAGGAGAGGTGGGGACTTCTGTTGAAGGGGGTGGTGAAAAGGATGTGGGAGAGGGATGGCAGGCTGGCACTGGAAGGGGCTGATCCTGTTCTGTTCCTCCCACCAGTCCTGCCAATCCTTGGGGAAGAGGTCTGCTGGCAGGAATGGGAGCAGGGGGAAAGGGGGAAGGAGAGGGACAGAGAGGGAGAGTGAGGAGAGATGGACAATTTGCAAGGGGTTGACCATATGGTACAGGGGGAGAGGCACGCACATTGAAATGCGGAGACTGAAGGATGAAAAGTGTTGTTCTGGTTGCATTTTTTTCCTTGCATGTCTTGTCTGCTTGTGAATTCATACGGTAGTTCCCATTGTTTCATGTCTTCGTTCTACAAATGACTTGGTTAATAATGCTTGCCCCTCTTTTTCCGCCCTCTCCTCCATTTTTATCTCCACCATCCCTCCCTTTCCAGTTTTCAATGTGAATGTACAAGCGGTACTCAGCATTGCAGTGTTTACAATGGCCTTTCTATTGATTTAGGATTCCTCGATATCTATTACGGTAACGCACTAGTTTGTACATTGTACATGCGTTTCCTACGTATATTATTATGTAGATTGCCCCTAATTGGGCTCGCGAGAACCCTTGCTCAATGCGTGTTTCTAAACCACTGAATTGCCACGTGTGTGAGGACTCCTTGACATTACCGCAGAGAGTTTTGCAAAAGCAGATTGCGGAGATTTCAGTGGCTGATGGTGAATGCACTTGCTCATTGCTTCTCTCGATGCTTTCACTACGCGTTCAAAATGCTCAGGACTTGGTCACGGGGCATCGCTGCTGAAATTTTGCGTGTCAGATACGAAATTGACTAAAAGGTGAGGTTCTGGTGTCATCTCGTCTCACAATTTCAGTCAATAGTCGAAATAAATGTCTAATATAAATCAGCACGAGCTCTACCGATCTTGACATTCCAATCGTACTAGAGGAAGCGGTCAACAACTCACAATGATCCGAATGCGCCTAGCCCTGACCTTTCCACCCATTTCGATCCTTCCTACACATTCTCAAAGCTGACTGTGATTGTCTCTCGAGCCATTTCTTTGTGCAGTTTCTTCACTATCAGAGCTCTCAACCAGACACTGGAGCTGCACGCGCGACCACGTCGAGTGTGAATACCGTAGTAATTTCTGTACATCCCTTGCAGATTAAAGCCTTTCCCTTGCCTCGCTCTTGACCATGGCCCAGTCGCTTCTCGCCTCCTCGCTTCTCGGCGAGTCGTTGCTAGCGTCTCCATCATCAACATTCCCATCCTCCTCCTCTTCTCCGTCTCGACGTCCCCTCGCCTCGCGTATTGTCGCTTCCGCTAGACCGCTTACGCCTTCCGTCAACCAACCCGCGTCGTCCTTCTCACGATCGACCGTCAGCAGCAAAATCCAACGATGCTCGCACGTCGTACAAGGCATCCGCGCCGTTGAGAGCTTCGACACAAGCTTTGAGTTGGACCCTCAGGTGAGCCCGATTACGTCGCACCAAGTTATAGCACCAAGTCATACCTAGCCAATCAATAACCAGAGTCTCACATGTTGACCAATCCGCGCCTGAATCCTCCATCACACTTCAAGACGTTCGTTCGACATGTGGGTTCTCCGACCTTTGACCTGATTCAAAAATCACATCGAACTTTTTGTGGACTTTCGAAAAAACCCGAAAACCGCCATGCATTCTCTCTTGCATTCCGTCTCTCAATGCCGCTGCTGTCCAGTCCCGTTCTGATCACTTGCGCAAACTCAGAAGTGGCTGCGTACGGACTTTTCATGTCACGCTACGTACGGATTCCCGTGTTACCGCCTATCTATGTCCATGGTGGTACCATCTGTCTAGAATCCCATGCTGTTGAGCGTGTTCTATCCCCGTAACACGCCAAGTTCCCATTCGTATGCTCCCATTCATATCATTCCCCCATCCCCGTGCGCCCATCCCCCGTGCGCCCATCCCCGTGCGCCCATCCGCCGTGCGCCCGTCCCCCGTCCATGCGCGTGTCGTTCCGCTGGCAGGCCAAGGAGGTGCTCGTCTATCTGCTCTCGTCCGATGTCTTCCTGCAGCAGGTGCGTGCCCGCTGACTTGTGTGGGTTGTAGCAGAATCGTGTGGGTTGTATCAGGAGGGCAGGGGTCGTGTGGGCTGTAGATTGTCAAAAGGGAACAAGGAGGTGCTCGTCTATCTGCTCTCGTCCGACGTCTTCCTGCAGCAGGTGCGTTCGCGACATGACATTGCGTTGCCGCCACCCTGTGCGAGCTGTAGCAGGATGGCAGGGGTCGTGTGGGCTGTAGCAGGATGGCAGGGGTCGTGTGGGCTGTAGCAGGATGGCAGGGGTCGTGTGGGCTGTAGCAGGATGGCAGGGGTCGTATGGGTTGTAGCGAGGAGCTGCTTGTCTATCTGCTCTCGTCCAACGTTTTCCTGCAGCAGGTACATTGCCGCCGACCAGGCTGTAGCAGGTCGGCGGGGGACGTGAGGGTCGCAACAGCCACTCTATTGCACTGTTGATGCAAGGAGGGCGCTCTGTCGGCTGGTCGCTGCTGCTGAGCCGGCACCACGAGCAAAGAAACACTGAGAGAGAGCACTAGGATGTCGATGGGATTTTCAAGAGAATATGCCTTGTCAAAGCCTATCAGTCCTCTGCTCCCGCCTGTGGCAATCTCAAAGCTCCCATTTTTCTGCATCGTCTGAGCAGCGAATGGCCGAAACAAACGAGGTGACTTTTGAGTCGACTCAAAAGTCACCTCAATCCCAAAACTCCCTTTCTCTGCATCTTCTGAGCAGAGAATGGCCGAAACGAGTGACTGTAACCGTTGCTGTCATAAACTTTCCACCCGATGCTGACTCTCCCTGGGATTCCCTGACGTGCCCCCTCCCGCCATTCCCGTTCGTCCAGGTGGCGACCCAGCCTGGCGTGCCAGCTGGCATCACGGGGACGGAGTTCACTGGCGAGCTCTTCACGCCTGTGCCGTGGAGCCCCACCACGCGCTTCGGCATGCCTCAGGTATGTGTGTGAGAACGCAGGTCAACGCTCTCACGTCATCACTGGTCAACGCAGGTCAACACTGTCATTTCACCAGACGGCACTGGCACAAAGACAAGAGCTCTCGTGCCTTTGCTGGGCTGCATGGGTGCATGGGTGCATGGATGCATGGCTGCATGGGTGCATGGGTGCATGGCTGCATGACTGCATGGGCGCATGGCTGCATGGGTGCTTGGGTGCATGGCCGCATGGGTGCATGGGTGCATGGGTGCATGGGTACATGGGTGCATGGGTGCATGGGTCCCTACCTTACCTTTACCCTCAACCTAAACTGACACAAGTTTCGGGTAAGTACCACAAGAAGGACGGAAAAGAGTAGTACATCATCAACGTGCCTCCATTGGCTTCACCCCGAACAAAGCAGTAACTCGAGAGATGCGGCATTCTCATATCCGCTAACCTCACGGTGCGGTCACAGGAATTGGTTTCACGCAACGAGGGCAAGGAGAACTGCATCATGATCAACGTGCAGTGCCAGCAAGCCTGTGTATTTCGTGCCAACACTCCGCTCTCTGCCTTCTCCCCGTAACCCCATCCTTCCTGTCACAGCAATTGGAGTCACGCCACGAGGGCAAGGAGAACTGCATCATGATCAAATTACTGTGCCGTGATGTGCTAGCAAGCCTCTCAACCCTCGTGCCAACCAACACTGCCTCCCTGCCTTCCTCATGCCTCCCACAGGAACTGGAGAACTGAAACAAAGGCGAGGAGAATCACATGATCATTGCCATGCGACCTTCCCCTTGCCCCCACCCAACAATCACAGGAGTTGGAGAAGTACAATGAGGACAAGGACAACTGCATCATCATCAACGTGCCTCACCAGCGAGCCTGTCAATCCTCCTGCCAACACTTCCTCTCTGCCTTGCCCGTAACCCCAACCTTGCTGCCACAGGAGTTGGAGAAGTACAATGAGGACAAGGACAACTAAACCATCAACCACATAGACATACAGGAGCAACTTGACATGTGACCTTTACCTTGCCCCTGCACGCCACAATCACAGGAGCTGGAGAAGTACAATGACGACAAGGATAACTACATCATCATCAACGTGCCGCCCAACTTCATGTTCAAAGCACAGGTGCGTTGGGAGGGGGCGGGTTTGTCAGGGTCTCAGGGGGGTACAGTCGAAGGATTGGACGGCAAGGTCCAGTATCAGTCCAAATATTGGACAGAAATTTTTGGTATAAGTACAAATATTGAACAGCAAGGTCGGGTGTGCAGTCCAAGAGTTTGAATCCAGGTCCAGGGCACAGCCCAAGGATTGTACTACAGGCTTTTGGTTAGGTACCTTATCCAGGTTATGCTAGTGGACCAATCTTGCAGTTCATATACATCTACATTCTATTCATACTATGAAATGCCTCTTTTTTTTCCCTGTTGTTCAGATTTTCAAGCCTTCACGTCTGTGTGCGATCTTCAAGGTTTTGAGAGACCAACCAGCGGGCCAGGAGGAGGGTACACAAGCATCGTCGTAACCATTGCCGCGATGTACTTAGCAAAATTCTGTGCTACGGTTTGCTGGTAGGATGCAATATTATGTTTGCCTTGACGGGTCTATTTAATGGATTTCATCAGCGGCAGCACCTGTCTGGTATGATGCGTGGTGGAATGGCGGTGGGGAAGAGGAGGGGAGGGAAGTGAGGGGGGGGGGAGGGGGAGGGTGTGGGGGAGAGGGGAGGGTGTGGTATCTACTAGCCCAACTGCGGTCAATGTTGTGTTGCTGAGCCCAAGTCAAGAGTTGGCAGAGTGTGTCTCGTTGTGCATTGCTTTCTTTGCTTCCATGACAATGCAAGACATGCACAGCACAGCCTTGAAATATCGGTAGCATACACATTGCACCATCTACAGCATCCAGGATAAAATCCTGGCAATCCATAGAAACTAAATAAGCAGCGCAATCAGCTAATTCCAGGGCAGCCAGATGAGCAGCAAGCACTATACGACAGCACAGCTCACTGAAATAAAGCCCTTCCTGCCCTTCACCACCCAGTCAGCCCCCTGCTTTCATACTTTCACTTGAACCCCACACCCATTCCAAAAAACCTTCCCCAGCAGATTCCCCACGGATTTCCGGAAATACGGTATTCCCACATCAATTGCACGCATTCCCTAACACATTCCCACACACATCCCCACACCCATTGCACACGCATTCCCACACGCATTTCCTACCCGCTGCCCCAATCGCACGCACACTCATCCCAAAAGCACCGTTCAACTGCAATTCAGCGGCGTCTCATCATCACACAGCAGAGAATCTTCTACACTCCCCAACGAGCGAGCGAGAGTTCACCAGAGCATCTTCCGACTTACCAAGGCATCCCATATTTTTTCCTGAGGTCCTTCTCGGTGAGCGGAGGGCGATTAGGGAAGCCAAAACCTGGCTGGGGTGGCGGCTTAGTAACTTTCCCCCACCATTCACGGGCGCTCGAGATTTTATCGCGGATTTGCGAGACGAGTTGACTGCCTGCAGGCTTGAATGCGAACGAGTCCTGCAGCGCCGCTCGCCGCGTGTCTTTCGCCGTGTCAACGCGACTCTCGATTATCACGTCAGTGGCGGCTGAATCTTGCTGTGCCACGTCTGCCAATGCTGCATGGTTAGTAGCAATTGTTTTACTGGTAGTGCCACGCATAAGAGCCCGACGCGGCCCTTCCGCATACCCACCGCGCTCCTCTTGCGCTGCCGCTGCCGAAAGGAGGTTCAGAGACGCGAAAAGAAGGGCGAGCGTGAAGATAGAGCGAAGAGCGCCCATGGCGAGAAACTATAGGACTTCAAAAAGAAAGCGACGTTAGGTTATTGTGAGGGTTGTTCGGGTTATAATGAAAGCTTTATAGTCCCCCCCGGGTGGAATTCCCTTTCTAGGAACTGAGATGCACACACAGGTGGCTGGGGCGTGCTTGCTGTTGGATGCCGCGCACATTGCGGAGATTCGAAGGTGTGTGCGGGATGAAATAATTGCTCACAGAGCACTGACTTCTGGGATCGAGGGGGGGGGAGATTTTAGCGATATCTCACAACAGGCGTCGGGTATTTCTCCTCCTCTTTCAAAACAGTACAGGGTATAACTCGGGTTCTGACTTGAACAACAGCGGAAGGTTGGTCGTGGTCGTTGCTGGCGCTTCTACACTATCAGAAGTGGATGCGCTGACAGACACTTGGAAGCAACCTACAACGGGCTGCTTTTCTGTCCGTTGGTACCTTCGTATCTGTAAGGGCCAACATGTACCATACTTTTAGAAGGGGAGGATGAGAAACCGCAAAAACGAACAAGAAGAATGGGGGTTTTCATTAACTATAAACATTTATGCCCGAAATATATTTTCATTAGCCGCCTTTGCGGCACACATTCCGGTGAAGCGCAAACTCAGGGGTTCAATAATGTTCACATTACCGTAGTGTACTCACACCTTCTTGAACTGTACCTCATTGATATTAAAGAACCACATCGCATCTTACTGTAATCTTTCTCTTATCAAGCATGAGTACCTCACATTTTGGCCATCAGTCTGGAAAAAAATAATCACAATATTCAGACTGCTAATATAAACATAATACGGCTTCGTTACATGGCAACAATTTTTCATACGAATAAATCAAGCTCAATTCAGATTACCATCAATCTTCTGTTTGAATGCTGACATCTGTCCGCTCTTCATGCAATAGCTCATGTTGACCCAATCGCCTCTTTCTTGCATCATGCACCACCTCACTAGCCACTATTCCTCCACCCTCACCACCACCACTCAATCCAATAGCAGCACCACCAGCTGACATCCCGATAACACTCATCTTCCCTTTCTCATACCCATTCCTACTGTCATCCACCACAGCTGTTACTGCTGCTGAAACTCCAACTCTCACGTCACTCCTCTCATCTCCTCGATCTGCACCTGACACCAGCGAACTCGACGATTTGCGAGTACCAGCCTCAGCAGCATCCCGTGTGGTGGGGGGTGCCATGGTCACTGCAGGAAGATAATTGGTTCTTCTGCCTTCTCTGGTGCTTGCGCCTCCGGTAACATCAGCACCCCTGGTAACATCAGCAGCACCCCCGGTAACATCAGCAGCACCCCTGGTAGCATCAGCAGCACCCCTGGTAACATCAACAGCACCCCTGGTAACATCAACAGCACCCCTGGTAACATCAGCACCCCTTGTAACATCAACAGCACCCCTGGTAACATCAACAGCACCCCTGGTAACATCAGCAGCACCCCTGGTAACATCAGCAGCACCCCTGGTAACATCAACAGCACCCCTGGTAACATCAACAGCACCCCTGGTAACATCAACAGCACCCCTGGTAACATCAACAGCACCCCTGGTAACATCAGCACCCCTTGTAACATCAACAGCACCCCTGGTAACATCAACAGCACCCCTGGTAACATCAGCAGCACCCCTGGTAACATCAGCAGCACCCCTGGTAACATCAACAGCACCCCTGGTAACATCAACAGCACCCCTGGTAACATCAACAGCACCCCTGGTAACATCAGCAGCACCCCTGGTAACATCAGCAGCACCCCTGGTAACATCAGCAGCACCCCTGGTAACATCAGCAGCACCCCTGGTAACATCAGCAGCACCCCTGGTAACATCAGCACCCCTGGTAACATCAACAGCACCCCTGGTAACATCAGCAGCACCCCTGGTAACATCAGCAGCACCCCTGGTAACATCAACAGCACCCCTGGTAACATCAACAGCACCCCTGGTAACATCAACAGCACCCCTGGTAACATCAGCAGCACCCCTGGTAACATCAGCAGCACCCCTGGTAACATCAGCAGCACCCCTGGTAACATCAGCAGCACCCCTGGTAACATCAGCACCCCTGGTAACATCAACAGCACCCCTGGTAACATCAACAGCACCCCTGGTAACATCAGCAGCACCCCTGATAACATCAGCAGCACCCCTGGTAACATCAGCAGCACCCCTGGTAACATCAGCAGCACCCCTGGTAACATCAGCAGCACCCCTGGTAACATCAGCAGCACCCCTGGCAACATCAGCAGCGCCTCTGGTAGCATCAGCAGAACTCTCGGTCGCGTTCGCACCAACCAGTGCAGGGTGTGCCACGGCCATTGCAGCCTGAGAATCGGCTCTTCTCACCTCTCTCGTCTTTGCACCTCTGGTTACATCAGCAGCACCCTTGATGACATCAGCAGCACCCTTGATGACATCAGCACCCGCAGAAGCAGTTGCACCAGCGGTAACAATTGCACCGACAGTAACATTTGCAGCGGCTGTAGCGTTTGCAGCAGCTGTAGCGTTAGTGGCATTCAGAATATCTTGGAGGAAAAACTCACCCAGCATTAGATTCCCTCCCAGCATCATGTCACCACCACCACCACCATCATCATCACCACCACCCTCTCCCAACGCCTCATCCTCTGTCAACCCACCCACCTCCATGCTCACCCCACCCTCCATCTTTCTTGCTTCCTCCCTCTCCTTCCCTCCCTCTCCTTCCTCTCCTCCCTTCATCCCCCCTCCTCTTCCACCTCCCTCTCCTCCTCGTCCTCTCCTCACTCCCTCGCCTCCTCTCCCCTTCAACAACCAGGGCACGAGAGCCACTAGCTGCCTGACACGTGTCTTCACCTCAGCCACACGTTTCCTGAGCCGCTTCCTCTCCTTGTGAACCGCCTGGGCTGAAATGACCGCCCATGCCACCTGCATGCGCTGCCGCAGCCACACTCCCATGGCCTACGGAGGACAGGAGGGGTCGAGGGCATGAGGAGGGGGGAAGGGAGAAAAGGTGGGTGGGAGGGAATGGAAGGGGGGAGAAGTAAAGGGAAGACGGGAGGAAGGAAAGGGGGGGGGAGATGTAGCGGGGTGATGGGGACACAACTGGGTAAGAAGGCGTGGATTGCATCAGCATGAGAACACACCCCTTTTCTAGCTCATCCCTCCCCTGTGCCAGCTCATCCCTCACCTGTGCCAGCTCATCCCTCCCCTGTGCCAGCTCATCCCTCCCCTGTGCCAGCTCATCCCTCACCTTGGCCGAATCATCCTTGACGAGCCCATCCCCATACTCATCCATCATCGTAACATCCATCGTGTAAACCGGGGTAGTGTCCGAAATCACCCCAGCGCGGTCCCCCCAGTAGTGATTCAGCCTCATCTTTTCCATATCAACCAATTTCGGCGGGCCATTCTCCATGACAGCCCACTCGTGGGGGTTGATACAGTCGTCCATAAGGTGAACGGCGAGGGGCAGCCATGCAATGGGTTTAGTGCGGTGCCGCTGGGAGGAGTTGGGCATGCGGAGGGTGTAGCGCTCTAGTAGGGTATCCGTGTCGGGACCGATCGGATCCCCAAGGAAAAAGACGTTCTGAATCAGGACCTGAAAGGGAGAGAACAGGAATGCGGGGAGAGGAGGTGCCGCTGGGAGGAGTTGGGCATGCGGAGGGTGTAGCGCTCTAGTAGAGTGTCCGTGTCGAGAACGATTGGGTCTCCAAGGAAAAAGACGTTCTGAATCAGGACCTGTGAGTGGATGGGACGGGGAAGGAGAAGACCATGTGTAGAGAGAGGAGTTGGGAGGAGTTGGGAGGAGTTGGGCATGCGGAGGGTGTAGCGCTCTAGTAGCGTGTCGGTGTCAGGACTGATCGAATCCCCAAGGAGAAAGACGTTCTGAATCAGGACCTGAAAGGGAGAGAACAGGAAGGCGGGGAGAGGAGGTGGTGCTGGGAGGAGTTGGGCATGCGGAGGGTGTAGCGCTCTAGTAGCGTATCCGTGTCGGGACCGATTGGGTCGCCAAGGAAAAAGACGTTCTGAATCAGAACCTGTGAGTGGATGGGAACAAGAAGGAAAGAAGCACGGGTAAACAGAGGGAATCTGGGAGGAGTTGGGCATTCGGAGGGTGTGGCGCTCTAATAGAGAGTCCGTGTCGGGGCCCCTTGGGTCTCCGAAAAAGAACACGCTCTGAATCAGGACCTGTGATTGGACGGGAGCAAGAATAAAACGGGCACGGGTGAATATAAAGGAATTGAAAGGAGTTGGGAAGAGTTGGGATGGGTTGGGACTCAGGAGTTTGGAT